AAGAGATTAATTAGTGTGTAAAAAACCCCAACACTGTGTGTTTTATTAATTCAAATGAACATATTTAGTAATGGTGTATGAAGAGGATACTTAACAATTGATTTTTATATAATTGTTTTAATAGAATTATTATATAATATCAATTTTACAGGTTGATAATATCCATTATTCAAGCTAAAGTATCTCTATTGCAATTTAAAGCACTTGTACAAGATCTATATTTGATTTTTTTTATCATGACAGAAAATATGAAATACACAGAAAATTGCTGGTGTTTGTATCCATAGATACTAGACAATTTATTGGCATAAACCAGTTTCACTTTATAAAGTGGACAAAGCAATAGAGAATAAATACAAAATTCTTTTTTCTGCTCTGGTGCTTTTTTGTTTTTTTCCTCACTCAATTTTTGGCTACTTCACTACTGCAGAAGAATAAATAGGCTCACAACAGTCTGTGAAACAGTATCAGTGTTGTCTTTCCCTTCAGGAGATGACAGTTTTCTCAGAGGTAGAATATTTGGTTTATAGCTAGATAAAATTCATTGTTGGTTAGACACAAAATATTTTATGGTACCTATTTTTATTGCCTGTGGTACCTGTTGGATCTGTTAAAAGAAAAAGAAGAAAACGTTCTTAAAAAAAAAACTGGCAGCAAAAGAACTATTGGGAAGTAGACAGGAAATATTTATTTGTGATCTGTATCACTCAGAAAATACCAGAATGTTTTCTTACACACTAAAGCAGTAGAGGTGTCTGTATCTCTGGTTCTTCCAAGAGTGTAAGATAGGAGCAATTTAGTGTAAGGAAGAAAATATTTTCATAGTATATACCTTGAAAGATATGACAGTGCTTCTCATTCTGCTGCTTGCTTTAATAAAGAGTGAACAAAGAGCTACAAGTTTCCATCCTGATCAGAAAAGACTTTGCCTGAGAAAAATATTGACCTGAAGTAAGTCATGAGACATGGAAATGCTTGCAGAGTGAGTGAAGCAGCACTTCTGTATTTGCTTGAGAAAACAGATACCAACGGTCACCAACATTTCTTCAAAGCATAAAGAAAGCACTTGGGGAAAAAAAAAATCGAACGTAATGTTTTTCCTACAAAATGGGAAAACAGCCATTCTTTCTAGCCAGTCTTGGCTTGTCTTTACACCGAAATGATCAGAGACCAGTTAAATTCTCAAACAAGCAACATTTATCTTAAACTGGCTACCAAGTTTTATGTTTTTTGGGGTCTTCTCCTTTGGCAAGGTAGCCAAAATCAAGTGACCTTGTACCCATGGACTTAATGAGCAAGGGAGTTAAAAGAAATATAAGCATAATGACAGTATAGTAAGTTAGCAATTTTAAGCATCTTAAAATACGTAAATCCTTTAAGATTGTAACAACTATATCTCTTAAAGATCTTTTTGCTTACATAGTACATAAGTACTATGTGAAGGGTTTATTTCATAGTACATAAGTAAGACTTCTGTAGGACCTTTTGTGCTCCAAATAAATTACCACCCCACCCCCCCAAAAAAACGGCAAATACCAGGGCTTGCCATGGGTTTATGGTGACACTTATAAATATGATTAAACTCTATTTTACATTTGCTAGTTCACTTCAGTTCATTGTATCACAGAACTTGAAAGAAATAACTTATTTAAGAGCAGGAGGAAAATATTATTTGAAAAGAATTATGTGCAGGATGCTCTTGATGTTTCCTTCTTAAAAAAATAAGAGAGTTATACTGCTGAAATTTATACCATTGCAATAAATTTCATCATGAACTAAAATTCTATGTCTTACTCGGTTTAAAAATAAAGGTGGTAGAAAAAAAAAACCACAATTACAGAAGTAAGTTATCACTATATTTCCTTTGAGGGTACTAAACCCTTATGAAGTCTTATTCTTTCCCCTTTATATTTAGTGAAATTACTTGATTCATGCATGGTCAGGACACAAAATAAATGACTCTTGATGTTTTCTGAGCTCTTTATCAGATGTCCACTGGGTTTAACAAAAATTTGTCAAGAATCGTGATCTGGATTCTAATGCATCTTCTATTTATTCAATGTTTATGTTTAAAGCTCTCTACTGTAGTACTCCAGAGTCCCCTCCACATGGTTTCATTGTCAGTCAGACAGGTGGACAGCTCAACAGTATGGTTCGCTGGGCTTGTGATCGAGGTTTTCGACTTGTTGGGAAAAGTACTGCTGTATGCAGGAAGTCTCCATTTGGTTATTACTCATGGGATGTTCCAGTCCCAGCTTGTCAAGGTACATTCTTTTATTATAAAATAATGCACCCTAAGTAACTTTTTTTTTTTTTCCTAATGAAAGCCATCAGTTTTCTGACTTAAAATGTGTAGCAGGTAAACATTTAATGGTCATGACTGTAGAAAAATTTTCTACCTAACAAAACTTGCAAAACCAAATGTATTTTAAAGAAACAGTAGTCAATGGGATTTGATAAGACTTGTAGTTAATAAAAATAATCTACATCATTGTGAGGATAAAAAAACATACAAATCTAAAAATATGAAATTATTCAAAAAATTCAATTGAAAAGGAATATTTAGTACATTTCATCTCGTGTGATCCAGGAAATATATTTTTTTAAAAAAGAAAGACTTGAAACTTGCTGCATTTCCAGAAACAGGAAATGACCAAAAAAGCATTGCCTATGAAGCCATTCTAATCTTTCATGGTTTAAATTGAAATTTCAAAAAGAATTCAGTGAGTTAACTGTATATTTAGGTTTTTTTGTCTTATAAAAGCAAAACTACTTAAGTTGGAAAGGGAAATGCGTTATTTAACACCCATCTAATTGTAATTTAATGCTTATTTCCTGAAAGGAATGCTATTATTCTGATAACTTACCTGTGTAACTCCTGAGTGAAATATTAGAATAATTATTTTTCATGAAAATTTGCAGATGTGTTTATTGAAACTGTGTACATTTTTTGTCTTTTGGCCAGTGGAAGTAAATGCTGTAGGAAAGTTCCTTGTTAATTTCTTATGAGTATTTTCTTTTTTTCCACAAAAAGTCTTTGAACTGTGTATTTCTAAAGCAATGCAACTTTTAACCTTTGTCAAAGGTGAAACAATCTCTTTTTCAAAGCTTTTTCATCGATTTCTATTAGTATATAAATAGTGTGCCTGGATTTTTGAAAAAATGAAAGTTCTCAAAAAAAAAAAAATCACAGGCAGTGCATTTGCTACATATGATTCTTTACTTTTCCTCATCAGCTGTCTAAGGACTGCCCTTCATGATAGTTATTTGTAGAACTTGACCAGACAATTAAATGTATTGAACAATGTGGAATGAAAACCAAATGGCTTACAGAATTCAAATAGAAGATGACTATTTTCAACATATTGAGTAGAGTTCAGTAATGGAAGTAATTGCAATAATCAGACACTAATACTTTAGAAACAAATGAAGTTAAGTACTTCGTAATCTCATGGTGTCTGATCAAGTACAGAGGCTTGGTACACACTGTTAGCATATTGAAAATTATTTCAAGTATATATTAATTGAATAACAGTTAATTATAATTTTGCAGTTAATTAGGGCTAGGTTTGATACATTATATGAACTTTATTCATTTCTTCCAGGAAGTTTTTGTGTGCCTAAAGTAGTTTGTGGCCATGTTATGTACCTGCAACTCAGAACAGTAGATTTTTCAGATTCAACCTAAAGTCACATTATTACTGCAAAACTCTCAGGAATAAGCTGCTTCCATTAATCAGTCATACTTCTAAGCTTCCACTTCTTTTGCTGGGGTAAAAATTATTCCCCCTACACAAATGATGCAGAAGATTTGATTTGATCTTTTGTATCAAATAGTTGAGAACCCATCAGGATATACCCTTCATGTTCTTCCACAGAGAATATCTAAGACACAAGGTCTTTGACATTCACCCTGCTACTGAGCAGCACTGCTTCATCACAAAGTAGTTCTAACTCTTCTAATTATGGGCTAGTGTTTTTTAGGACTTCAGGATATAGAGGATGAACATTGTTTTACCAACTATTCTAAGTATCAGTAGAATTTACCAACTCTTTTGACATGTGATATCAGATGATAGCATTAACTGGCAAAGCCTTTCTAATCAGTTCTTTCATATACCTGGACTCACACAGGTGATTATTTAATAAAGAAAAAAGAAGTATTAAGTGTGGGGTTTTGTTTGTTGGTTTTGTTTGTTTGGGGTTTTTTTACATAGCAGTATAACGGAAAAAATATTTGCAATTTCTTTAAAACCAGTGCATCTTATTTTCTACTTACTTTTTACTATTTTACTACTGCCAATCACAGTAGTAGTTACTGGTATAATCCTGTAGGAAATGAGAAATCTAAGGACTCAAAATTTATTAATTCTTTAATGATACCTCTCCAATCAGCACAGCGAGTGGTTTGTGGTGGTTTGGGGGTTTTTTTAGCAATACTAAGGCTATTTCTTAGCAAAAATTCTTTTACTGCCTGCAGAATATTTTATGATTGTATTTAAACTAATGCTTTCTCTTTACATTTTTCATTTTGTATCTGTGCCATTATTATCACTTCTGAATTCTCTCCTGTAAATAATGAATGTCAGTAGCCTTTTCCACTACATTTTTTTTTTAATGTTCATGAGCAATGTTGGACCAATTTTGAATGTTCTCATTCTTATACCTATATAAATAGAAATTTGATCTCTGAAAGCTCCAAATACATAATACCAACTATTCTTCAAATCACTTGCACTACAGGACTGACAGAACCTGAAAAATCCGGATACACACTTTAACCTTGGATGAAAGCTTTTTTACATTATTTATAGAACTAAGCATATCTCAGTATAAGAGTCTCAATGCAGTAGTAAGGAATCAAAAAGAAATGCCCTAAGCCAGACTTCAGCAATTACCTGAAACCTGTTTCAAAGTTAATACAAAAGTACCTTTCCTGTGTTACGAAGTAAAAGGAAACTTCTTCAAAATCTATTCATGTATTAATATAATGGTAACAATAATGCTAATTAATTACAAAATTTTACTGTTCTAACATTTAGATATTAACTATTCTTTTTATATAGATGTACATGAAATGAATCATAATGTGAAAGCCTTGTTATCCATGTATCCATAGCATTTTAATACTAATCCTTTGATCATAGGTCAATAATAGGTTCCCATGGTTAACTAAATTATGAGGTTTTACAACAAACTTTTTAGAGAATGAATAGGTTTACAGTGATCTCTTCTCCGAAGTAACAGTTATAGAATGAGAGAAAATGACTTCAAGTTATACCAGGGGAGGTTTATATTGTATATTAGGAAAAAAAATCTTCATATCTCTGTGTAGGCAGGATTGATAGTCTCTTAGGGTTCAAAATTCCACTTCCAAGTGAAGTATTTAAGAGTAGAGAAACAAAGCCTTTGTTTTGTTTTTTTTTTTTGGACCTGACCTATATTAGATGTATGGTGTTAAAATGTGGACACGATTTACTCTTGATTTTATTCCCAAAACAGACAGAGCATCATTTAGAGCCAGACCTATTCTTTGTACTTTCTTTTTATTGAATAAGTTTAAAAAAAAAAAAAAAATCATTTGCCAATTTAAAATATTTACAAAATAGTATATTCTTTCTGCTTTGCAGGAGGAAAAATAGAATGTTAAAAGTTAATTTTAGCACTTTGCCAGAGGTCACACAGTGCATCTGATGGAAGAAACCTGAAGTGCAAACTATATCCCAGATGTCTTAGACTGGTGCTTTGCTCATTCAGCCATGCTGATCGTATTTTTTCTAGATATTCCCTATTGCCTCTTTGATTATCTTCGACATTTTGAATGGATAACTGCAAAATTATGAACCGTTGTTCTTATTTTTAACCTCCTCCATCAAAAGACAAAAACTTCCTGAGAATTAATTCTCTAAAATTTTACAGAAATTTATTTGTAGGCCTAAAACACACATTAATGAGTTAAAAAGTAATTTTTATTAATTTAAGCCTGTTAATTTTACAATGCCTATACCCTATGAGATGAGTGGAGGTTTATAGTGAAGAAATAAATTAACTATGTCTTCCTCTTTACTCAGCAATATCCTGTGGAATTCCTAAAGCTCCACTAAATGGTGGGATATTAACTACAGATTACTTAGTTGGCACCCGTGTTACTTATTTTTGCAATGATGGATATAGACTATCAGCCAAGGAACTTACTACTGCAGTCTGCCAGCCAGATGGTACTTGGAGCAACCATAATAAAACACCTCGCTGTGTAGGTAAGTAACGTAAAAACTCTCCAGTGAGTAAGAACCCGGCTGTACACTTTATCCGAGGTGCAAATCTTACTTAAATTTTCAGCCTCAGCTTATTTTAATCTATGAGTAATTGAGTATAATCAAACCAAAAATTAATTTGCAACTAAATAAAAAAAAGCTAATGCTTGCTAGACTTAGAATAAGCATAAACATAGAACCCATAGAATTAAGACATGAGATGAAAATTTGTAGCTGCTGAAAAAACATTTGATATGGATATTATTGTATCTGTCACCAGTGTGCAGCTTCTCCAAATGAGTCTTGATGATGTCATAGCATTTACCTCGGTAGAAAAAGAATACCTTTATTGAAATGTAGCTAACATTTCAGTCAAGATCCTATATCTGATGTGAAGTGTCACAGGAGTTTCATGACTATCAATTTATGGTGAATTCAACTATGGTATACATTCAGTCTACACCGATTGCATAGCTCTGCATACACAGTCACTGCTCTGTCTGGCCCATTGATCATTCATTATTAATTAAATGTAAGAACTTGAACCTGCCAACCACAGGTAATTTCAAATACAGCCTTACTCATTATGTCACTGTGTTTAAAGTATATTTCTGAATTAATAATGGTACAGATTTTCATAATTCTCTTGTACTAAGCCACAAGTAACAATATGTTTTTGTTATTTTGGAAGTTGTTACATGTCCAAGCATCAATTCTTTTGCACTGGAACATGGAAGATGGAGAATAGTGAATGGTTCACACTATGAATATAAAACAAAAGTAGTTTTCAACTGTGATCCAGGGTACTATGGTTTGGGACCAGCATCTATTGAGTGTCTTGCTAATGGCACCTGGAGTTGGAGAAATGAGCGGCCTTACTGCCAAAGTGAGTACATGCTGTACCTGCATCTGCTGTACATATTTCGGATAAAAGTACATTATTTAGCTGAAATATAAATTAAATAATTAAATATTGGAATCAGTCATTTAAAAAAATGTTTCCTGGCAGGAATTCCTGGATATTCTAAAGGCTGTTATTTACAAACATATTCTATTTTGTTTAGTGACAAGGAAATATTTGTAAGCACACTTCTAGATTTTAAAGGTCCCTAAATCTCTAAGGGTACAAATAGTAGAGAACATTTTCTTATATATATTTTCTAGGTGAGGAATTCTGTGTAGCCTAGAAAAATGCAAAAACTTTGTATCCTGTCTGTCTAGTTGATAAAAAATCTCTCCTTTCAGCCGGTAACCATGCAGTGTGCACGTTTACATCATCCCTACCATTAGCTGGTTTGCTGATAACCTGCATTAGTTTTCAAAAAAACAAGTAATGAAAATTCAGAGACTTTAAACAAGTGAAATATATGATTACAGTTATGCTACCCTCCCCCACCTCTACTAAAAGCAGGTTCCTTTATGTATTTAAATTTAGACATGTTTTTGAAAACTGTAGGGCTTTGTAGTGACAAAATTCTTCCTCTTTGTGAAACACCACATGATGTACGCTCTGATAAAATGGGATATAACTGTGATTTTGGTGGATGTATCTAAACTGTGTGTATCTGCCTGTATGCGTATAAATCTACATATATCTAAAAAGGAAAAAAAATGTGGATAAGCCAGATAACTGTGGTTTAGAATTTATTGAGAATACATTTGAAACTAATAAAAAAGGGGACTGAAAAATGAATTCCAAAGATAGATAAATTATATCAGAAATTAAGATTAATTTTGAATGGTTTATAACCTACTGGAAATTTCATTTGTAATTTAGAGGATTTCTAAATGTTAATTGCAATATGTCACCTCTCTAGTGTTAAAAAAATATTGTGTACATGTCTGTGTCTTTGTCTCTGTGTATATAGATATTTCACATATTCTATATGTATTTGTAATGAATTTTTCTTTAAAAGACAAACATTTTTCACTATGTATTGGGAAGGGTTTGTTTGGGTTTTTTTTCAATATTATCACTTTGATTTTTTTAACATAAAGTGCTAGCTGCTTTTTTGACAGTCCACCACGTTTATTAATATTAAAATTCTTTTTACAAAATATTGACAGAAAATTATTAAAGAAAAATTATGATTTTGCATTAAAAAATGCTTTGACTTGTAAATAACAAGGAATTCTGTAAACATTATTCACTCATTATAAAAATGTATTGTGGGAATGCTAGGACAAGCATTTCATTGTCAACCAGAAGATAAAAATTACATATTTCCAAAGAAACATAATTTTTAAAATAGCAATTAATATGGTATTCCAGTATTAAGGAAAAATTATTGATAAAACCAAGGTAACTAAATAGCAATTAATAATGTTAGGAACAGTGGGGTTTTGGGTGGTTTTTTTACTTCAGAATGACAATCTTAGTGCTGTGTGACTCCCTCTCTTTCTTAAGTATTATTTCTGAGGAACTAATACTTTTTATATGCATAGGTTTCCATCTGGTTTTTCTACAGAGCAAAATACTTCAAGCTGTGACTTATTTAGTTAGTGGACTGTTTGATTTATTACTGGTTGATAACTATTATTGTATGTGTGTTTGTGATACTCAGCTGTACATTTCTGTTTCATTTTGGTTTTACATAAAGTTATTTCTTGTGGAGAACTTCCTACACCTCCAAATGGGAATAAGATTGGAACTCAAATCACATATGGATCTACAGCTATATTTACTTGTGACTCAGGATACATGCTAGTTGGCTCTGCCGTGAGGGAATGTCTATCTTCTGGACTCTGGAGCGGAATTGAGACCAGATGTTTAGGTATGGATACTACTGTCACAGGTCACCTATTTTCTTTCTCTTTAGCAGAAAAAAGTAGGCAAAGAGAATCAGCTTGTTTCTTTCTGTTGGCACAGACATTGGAGAATTACGAACTTCTGAAAATGTGTGTGGCTCTGTTGTTTATCTTATCAAATTGTAACTGTGATTACCTTTGCATAGTTTTTAAGCCCTTTTTCAGTATATTCCTCACGTGCAAAACCTGTATCACTGGATTGCTGCATATGTCTCTAAAGTAGACCTATGTATAAATACATAAACCGGAAGAGTGATTCCAGATGTGTCAACTTTAACACTTTTCCTCAGTAAAATATCTGTGTAGTAGACCTGAATTCACAGGTTATGTTATAGAATTAATCTGTACAGGGGGATAGATAGCGGGATACAGGGGAAAAAAAAATGATTGTGGAAACTTTGACAGAAGCACTGCTGCTCTATTTCTGAGATAAAACTGCTATCCAGACACTATAGAATTTGACACACTTTATTTGTACATGTTTAGTCATCTTCACTTAGTTAAAATACTGAGGCACCAGGGCCTTCGTCATTTATTAATAAAATGAACATGTGACCTCAGTGAAAAAAACATCAGGGCTTCTTTTAAATTCATTATTATCACGTGTACCTTGATATGGGTTACTGTGTTAGCTCTAGATAAATTGATTTTAGTTCTATATGCAATGAATTTGAGATCAAAGATATGATAGTGGTCTGATTGTCGATTACAATATAAAAGTAATTTTGTACCTTTTGATTTCTGGGTCTTGAGAACAATAAAAGAATATCCATAAACTGAGGCTTTCAGAAGAATCTCAAATGGTATATACATTAACTACAGGGGCTTGTTTTGCATATTGACATTTACTTTTTTAGACTACTGGACATCCCAAATAATTTTCCTTCTGTAATACAGCATTATTTGGTTCAAGTATTCATTTAAGCTTAATTTGAATGACTCATGAATGCGTTGAAGTGTTGCTTATCAATCTACAAGTCTGAAGCTGGAATGTTTCCTGACATACAGTTGAGGTAAACAGACAGGTTTTGTTTATGTTTTACTTTTAAAGTGAAAACTATTTAGCAGAGGCAGGTGAAGAAAAGATCTCCATGTTTGATGTTCTTTTTCTTTTAAGTTGTCAGAAATGTGAGACTGTTTTAAATCTAAAAGTTTAAATAGTACATGTGTATCAAAAGAATCTAATTTCTTTTTTCCCCCTTTTTTACTTTTTTTTTTTTTTCCTCTAAAGCTTACAGCTATTGAAGTTTGGAGAAATGTAAAAATTAACCGGAAAAAAAAAAAAAATCTAAAACCAGCCAAATTGTCTGCTATTTGTAAATAGCACTTTGGAAAAATACTTTTATTTAAGAATTTTGCCTAAATAACTACATGCTAAATGAATATAATCACAGAATGAATTGAATTTCTCCTACATTTCCCTGTAGAAATGAAAAAAATTTGAATAGCTTAATAATTATAATAGGTTGCATAATCTTTACTTGAAACTTAAAAGAAGACCCTGAAGTAATCAATTTTCAAATCAAACAATTTTACCTCCTAGAAGATGTTTATTATTATTGGGTTCATATACCGCCATGTCCAGTAACAATAAACAGTTTAGAAAAATTTATAAAACAGCTATATGACTAGAGAGGAAAGAAGTAATATAAAACAATACCTTTTGTATCAGTCTGATAGGACTACAGTAAATCTTCAAATGTAGATCTTCAAATCATAGAATCATAGAATGGTTGGGGTTGGAAGGGACCTTAAAATTGTCTAATTCCTCCCCCCCTGCCATGGGCAGGGATACCCTCGTCTAGATCAGGTTCCTCAAAGCCACATCCAGCCTGGCCTTGAACACTTCCAGGGGTGGGGCATTTACAACATCTCTGGGCAACCTGTTCCAGTGTCTCTGGGAAGAATTTCTTCCTGATGTGCTTTTATAACCATAAACCATTTTTCATCATATATCTTAATCCCTTCCACTTTTACTCATGCTGAAAAATGTAGTTATGCTTGGACTCAAGTGCCTACCAGTGTATTTCTATTTTAAGCAATGAAGACGCCCTTAAGAGTACACTTAGATGACATTAATAAAAACCCACAGGATTAATAATATCCTTTTCCAAGTATTATATTTTGTTCAAAAATGCAAGTTAATTTTTCAGAAGTCCTTCTCAAATTGCTCTGTTTAATCATTGTTAGACAAATAAATTTTCATTCCATTTAAGTGTAATTTGAAAAATTTGTGGAAAGTGGAATGAATAAGAATAAATAAGTAAGTACTGGAAACACAACGTAAAAGTAGTTAGTGTTGATCCTAACTAAATGTAGAAGACAACTTGAACATAGGTAAGCTGTAAATCACCAAAAATATTGTCCAAAATTCAGATTGTATTACAACACAAATAAAATTCCATGGCATTTTTGACAGTTGTGCACAATTTTATTGACAGTTATAATAGTGTCAGAATATGTTAATTGTTTTCACAGCCCATTTTTATCTTGCTTTTTCCATTTCTGATTCTTTTACCACAAGGAGAAGGATAGAACTTTATGGCTTTTGAATCTTTTTTTTTTTTTTTCCCAGAATACCTAACTAACAATGTAGTACTGTGTGAGTAATCATATTAATGTAATTATATTGGTTTGATATTTCACTGAATATAGTGGGAAATTGGGTTCTGGATCAGTATTCTTCTCATGCTATAGCTGGTGAGAAGAAACAATGTTCAAATTGAAATATTAAACAAATCAAAACAAGAGTGCTCGTGAAGTAATTCTGTTGTGGAAGTCTTAAAAACAAATAAAGGTTTCAAAAGATTTTATGGTGAAAAATATGAAACAATCACTTCAGTCTTTTAAAATAAAGTAACAATCAAAGACAAATTCCATGACTGTTGTCTCCAAGTTACAGAATACCTCTTAACATTTGTTGAGCTTGATCTTTGTTTTTGTACTGAAAATGTTAAATCAATTTCTGGGGGAAAGTCTTTGTAATAAATCTTGAAGAAGAATTCAGAACTATAGAATAAATTTCTCTAGGAAAAAAAAAATTGATGAAGAAATTAATTATTCTATTTCTGTTTATATGAAAACAACATATTTGCAGTATTTTACTTATTTATTATGTTAATTTTATTTAATTTACTGACATGAGTAAGAATGATAATTAAAACATCTTAATTTTTTATTTTAATGTCTGTAATCAGCTATTTATTAAACTCAGCATTTCCCAGGGCAGAAATATATATGGTCTACTTGGTTAAGTTCATAGTATTTTCAGGTTTTTTCACTGATATGGGAATGATGAATGAGATTTCCCAACGTTTCCTAAGGTTTCTGTATGACTTCTTCATTATCACTATTTTCAGATTTTTTATTAACTCAATGGGAAAACACTATTAGATCATTACTTTTAAAGCATCATGATTTGAGGATAGGGACTACTTTCCCCTCCTCCCCCCCCCATCAACTTCCAGTCACTGAAAGGTTTCTGTGGTTATGCATCCTCTGAAATGTATCCCTTTGGACACTATTTCAACCCTTAAATCTTTTGGGAAAATGTACATGCAACTAACTTCTTTCTCTTAATTTTTTTCAAACTTCTTTTGTTAAACTCATGGTATTTCAAGTAAAAGGGAATCTGTATCTCCAGTGATACTGAATTAATATATCTAGAGTTAGCCATATGCTTCTCTTTGTTCCTCAGTACACTGCATAATAATATCAACTAGACTTTCAAATGAGGTATAGGATGTTTCACCTTTAAAAAATTATTCGGGTATTTCAAGGAATTCAGCAGAGAACTTCCCTTTCTGGGCTATGGATTAAAGATTTAAAAAGAAAGTTACTGTTCATGCTGAACTGCTTTAGTACAACTTGACAGCTGGAAAGGTGAGGATCATCTGAAACTAGCAGGAGGAAGGCTCCAAATCCTCTTTTGTCCAGGGCTGTGCCATTGTCATTTCAATACTGTGATTTTCTACATAAGAGTTTTTGAGAACAGGAGAATGTGGAAAAAAAATATAGCCTTATAAGAAATGCAAGCCCTCTAGAGAAGAAAGAAATTCCAGCAAATAATTCTTTCCTTCTCGGCTGAGGTCATCTTGACAGGTTAATTAACTTTATTGACTAATAAACTAAATTTCTTTTCCCAATCATACATTGATATGTAGATTTCTTTCACTACTGTGCTCATGTTTGACATTACTGACAGCTAAAATAAGCAGAGGCACGTTTCTGCCACTTAATGTAAAGATTCTGTATTCATTAATACCTACTTTTGCATCTCAGGAAGTAACCTGCTCAAAAGAAACCTCATTTGTAGTTTAGGTTTCAAAGGTTCTGACACTTAGTTATTATGTTCATTCTTCATCGCTAGAGCTGGATTTCATGTCAAGTTAGGTAATTTATTTAGTGCTCACATGTTATTAAAACCCTTCATTTCTGCTTTCTGATTAGTTTTGTTTCTTAATAATATTTCATGCAGTTATTATTCTTAAACTTCTCTGGACTAGAAATTGAGAATTTTATATTGCTTACTTTCCACCTGAAATCTGCTGCTCAGGAAAACCTTCACATTTAATCTCTTCATTTGTAGCATACACTCTTTGCCTTTACAAAACTGAGATATTTTGATTCATTATTACAGATTACAGGTTACATTAAGACTGAGGGGCCTTAATTGGATTCATAGAACTGATGTATAGGTCTTTTATATCCATATCATAGAAAACAGGAAATACACCCCATCTTACGATACAGCACTAAAATAAAGACACTGGCAATGAACGAGCCTATCCTGAAAATAGCCTAGAATAGTCTAGTCTAAAACAGTCTAGAATCCTAACCTAGTGTGAAGTCAGCTATTTACTATTAGGGTGTCAGAATATTCCCCCTTCCACCCCTGGCCAGTCATAGTACTTACGATAATCTGATTGTTGCAGATCATTGAATGGAGGTTTGGAGAAAACATGTTAGTTTTTAAAACATGCTGATTTTATTTCAGCTTTTCTTCTACCCATATCCCATATATTAATGCAGTGCAGTAAACATTCTATTTGTCATGTGTTTGTGTTTGGCAATATACCATGCAAGGGTGTATGTTTTTTCTCTCATTCATTCTGATAAATGCAGATCTGAATTACAATATTGATTTTACTGCTTGAACCACTTCCTCTGTCCCATATTTCCAACAAATCTTATATGATTGTGTTTCATTTTTTGTTTTCAATTGCCTTTCATGATGAGTACAGCAGTTTTATGTTTGCTTATAATTGGTCTTAGAATGAGAATATTACTTTGGGGATAAAATAAAGTGATATTCCATTAGATAATAACAGTACTGTTAAGTGTTTTATCCATGATGAGTGAATATTCAGTGACCTATTGTCTGCTTAAACAGGAGTGTAAATTGATAATAAAATCAGTTTTCTTAAATGCTTTCCCTTCTATTTGCAAAATAAAATCCCTAGCAAAGAAGAAAAATAAACAAATGAAAAACACCAGGAGGCAACACTGTTTCTCAGTATTTAAACCATTGTTTTCCCACCAGTACTGCTAATTTTTTCTCAGCAGTCCTTTCCTTTCTATTTCCTTATCTTTTTGCATCAGTTTTCTGTTTTCTACCATAGCTTTTCTGGCACATTTTGTTTGTATTTACAGAGAGTTCTCTCAATATGATACCCAGTTTACAGCATTTGCATTCTGTCCTCAGTGAAAACATTCCACCTGCGGATATTAGCTCCTGAGCAGTTTTGTGTCTGGATTGCATTTAGGAGGAATGTTTTAGTTATCTTATCGCAAAAGACAGTTAGCCATATTTTCTGGTTATATTGAATGAAGACTAGTAGATAGAACAATCATTTTTATTATTTTATTTGTTTTCATTATACCAGATTTTACAACTAAACTTACTCTTCTGTAATGATTCAATTGTGGTGTGACATACTTCTCAAATAAGAACAGATTTAAAATTATGTTCCTTTGGCCTTGCAATGTTTTTTACCATAGTGAAAATGAATGTTACTCCTTCTTTATACCAGTGTGAAAAAACTGACATCAATTACATAGTATAGGTTATATATCTCTCTCTATATATAAAATACAAGCAAGTGAGTGGAAGAAGCTTTTAAGGATACAGCTGTGAGACGAAATGAAGGAATAGAGTTGGTCCTTGATGCCATTGCACAGGAAGTATGTCTCATTTAGAAACAAAGGCAGTGTCTCAAAAAAACTACGTGTGCAGTATTTGGTTTTCTCAGACTGAATGGCACTTCAAAAACTCATTTCAGAACTTGAATAAAGGGAACTAAATATATTTACTTCTCACAAATCCCTTAAAATGGAAGTCCTGAAAATCAATTAGCAGAATTACCAAAAAAGCTACAGGGATATGAAGTAATGAATATGAGAATTCTATGAACAGTCAGGAGAAAAATAAACAAACACCTTTCTTTAGAAGAAATATAGCAAAACCAGGGGGTTGGTTTTTTTAAATTCTTCCTCTTCTTATTTTCTTGGTATTGGAAAAGTTGTGATAGCAACTACTGTAAGTGAAAGGTCTTTGTTTCCTCTGAGGGAGACCAGCTCTGTGCATGTGTGAAACAGAGTGTGAAAATAAAGCAAACAAAGAAAAAACTTCTAGAAACTATTAATGACTCTCTGAATTTATTGCAATTTAGGGAAATTAGTCAGCTGAATAAACGAGTGGAAATTTCAGTCATATTCTCAAAGGTTCTCTTAACAGGGACTATGTATACCATTAAATACACTTTCAGTAGCAGAAATACTGAACTGTTTACCACATACACCTACATGACAGATGGTATTTTGAAAATGAGACAAGTAGGGCTAAACCCATTGTTTTGGGGTATTGAGGGGGTTCGTTATGTTTGTTTTGATTTTTTTTTTTAATGTCTCTCAGTGAGACAAAACTTCCCCTGGAAAGCAGAGTGAAAACTGGATACAAATCCTGTAAATCCCAAATGTTTTTTATTTGACTTCAAAATTGAGATTAAAAATGTGTCACAAGTCTGGCATATCCTGTTTTTAAATGATATTTAATACCTTAATACTGTCACAGTAGGTTGGTTTAGAAATCTGTTATGATAGAACTACAGTTTTAGAATATTCATAGATTTAGATTTCTTTTTTTTTTATTTAGAAACTATCCATATGGGTGGGAATAAGCTCTACTATTTTAACATTATATACTTCTTTAGTAATAGTGACTAGTTCACAGTTAGTTATGTAATATAGTTAGGGCTACAAAAATGTAACTGTTACACAGAGCGAGAGAAGAGTGTCAGAGGGGTTTGAAGTAATAGAATTGTAGAACAACCTACATCTGGAGGGACCTTAAAAGATCAGCTGGTCCAACTTTTCATGGGAAAGGGAGCTGAGATAATATTACCTAGCACCCTGTCCAGTCACATCCTGAAAACCTCCAGTGACGGAGACTCTACCACATCCCTGGGGATGTTGTACCAGTGAATGTTTGTTCTTTACTGTAAAAAATTTCGTACTTATATTGAGATGAAACCTCTCCCAGTGTAACTTGTGTCCATTGCCCCTTGTCTTTTCCATATGACTCCTTGTGAAGAGAGGCCCTCTGACCTAATATAGCTGCCCTTTAATTACTGGAATACTGTGATGAAGTACCCCTTGAGACATCTCTTCTTCAGGGACTAACACCTTCAGCCTTCCCTCATAGGGCAGGTTGTTCAGCCCTTTGATTGTCTTCATGGCCCTCCTTTGGATTGTCTCCAGTCTGTCTGCATCTTTCTTCAGTGGTGGGGACGAGAATGGAGACAATACTCCAGGTTCAGCCTGACAGGCAGAGTGGGATGATCACATCTCTATCTCTGCTGGTGATGCCCCTGCCTGTGCTGCCTAACATCCTAGTTGCCTTCGTTGCTGCAGTGGTGCACGGCTGACTCTCCACCCACCCAGATCCTGCCCAATATTGAGCTCTTCAGTTATTCCTTCCCAGGTGCAGGACCTTTCATTTGTCTTCATTAAATTTCATGCGGTTCTTTCTAGCCCACTCTTGCAGCCTATCCAGGTCTGTCTGTAAGATGTCTTACCCCTCAGACATGTCCACCTTTGGTGTCATGAGCATGTCTATCAGAACTACATGGGAATGCTTTGCAGGAGTTCCCACCTTTGTTTTGTGTTTGTGGTTTTGGGATTTTTTTTTTTTTTTTTTTTTTTAATTGATGACACGTACGACATTTAATCTCTTTGTTCCACTGTCTTTTTGTATTTTTTATATGTGTACACTCCTAGCTATACACAGATGCAATACTGCAGTTTTCCCCAAGTTAATAAAAGCAAACCTTTGAATGAAGTCAATTAAAATGAAAATAAAAATGAAAAAAAATTTAAAAATGAAATATGTTCCGTATTTCTTCGTTTTGATTAAGGAGATAGAATTTCTGTGGCATAATTACTGATTTGTTTGTTTGTTTGTTTTCTATTATTTACTCTGAAATATCTAGCTGGTCACTGTGGTATTCCAGATCTTATAGTCAATGGTCAAGTAATTGGAGAAAATTACGGATATAGAGACACAGTTGTATATCAGTGCAGTCCTGGGTTTCGATTGATTGGTTCTTCTGTACGAATATGTCAACAGGATCACAACTGGTCTGGTCAGCTTCCATCTTGTGTGCGTAAGTAAGCATGGCAACACATACTGATACGCGTTACAGGAATTCCTATGTCAGAGAAGATGAGGAGCAAGTTTGCAACTTAGTATTCGTTTCTCAAAAAAAAAAAAAAAATTTGAAGAGAATCCTCAAAAGTATGTGGCCACCTAAAATCTGTGACTCATATACCATGTTAAGTTTACTGTTGTCACTTATTTCCATTGGATTATTGTATCTTTTGGCAACTAATACCTGTCATTTATATATGAATGTGGATCTTGTTTAAAAAGTGACATGACTTAGACAACCAAATACTCAAATTTGAAAACGGTTTTATTTCCCTCAGTGTCTTTCAGTAATATTTAATGTACATTTACTTTGCAGTAGTTAGATAAATAGATACTCTTGAAATATACTGTCAGCACTGATGATTAAAATTTTAGCTTCAGCAAAACTTCCCCCCTCCCCCCCTCACAGAAATACTGTTATTTTGTTTTCTATTTTGGGTTATGGATTTTTGGCATGAATTTTGTATTTGCTCAATGAGGGTCTTTTTGTGTGATAAGTATGTTGACATATCACATGAAATACCATTATGTGACAGAAGAAAATACTGTATTCTTTTTAAGAAAATTTGAGAGTTCTCAAAGGATTCTCAACAAACTACAGCTATGTTTCAATAATTCAGGTTCAGGAATATCAGGGTATTGAAAACGTATTAGTCCATTTCCAAATATTACTTTTACAGCTACATTTCTGTAGCAAAAAATCTTGTCAGAAACTATCTGAGTACTTATAAATATACACGCTGTTAATTCATTACGGTTACTGATCACTTTTTACTTTGTTTTAGATAGAACTAGATATACAAAACACTTGTATAATAATTGTATTTCTTATTTTTTCCTCTTTATGATCTAGTAATAGATCATTATTTCTTTTTATTACATTTAAGACCAACACACTTACTTATAAATAACTGTTAAGGCAGCTGCTGCTAACCCTGTGATAGATGTTTAGGAACAACTCAATTTCAGATCAAAGGTACAAATGAAGTGTAGAGACACAGTGTCACCTTTTTTTTTAATTATTTAACCTTAAATGTTTTAATTGAATTTTTGAGATTATTTAATGATTCTGAAACTTTTGATTTAGCATTTTCCTTGCTTATACAGTGGCAGATACAGTACCACTGTTGTGTGTTCCTACTCTATGTTCATGAGGTATTATTCAAAATTTTATGCAGATCTCATAATTCTGTTTTCACAAGAATAATTTTTATTTTTATTATATGAAGATTAAAAAAATTCTCTGTTGGCTGAATGTGTATCTTTGCCTGACAACTTTAGAAATGTTAGAAGTTTACTGTACCATTCCAATTACTCTTTTTGGGGAAAAATTCAATTCTTTATATAAAAATTTCTGATACTTGTAACATAAAGATAATATATTTAATTAAAATAACGTAGTGATATTAAAATAATACAGAATTCATTTTAGCTTTCATTCATAGAATATACTCTGACGTGTCTATATGCTATCCTACTTTTAAGGACCATTTTCACATTTTTAATGTTGCTAAAAAATTATTTAATTCAGATTATATAAATGGGTTTCTTTTAGATTTATCATGGTAAGACTATTCCACACAGACAAATAGAACAGATATTTGTCAGACTTAAAGATTAATTTAGAGAAATAATTATTTCTAGAGTTAAATAATTTATTGTGATTTCTTTTTGTTTTAAATTATTGACTAACATTTTATTTTAAAAGTACTGGAGTTTGTGAAAACATAGAATAAAATAATCCTATATTTTTTACATTATTTTGGGAAAATTAATTTTTGTTTAATTTTCCTTACTATTTTTGCATCTGGTCTTTGTAAGCACAGAAAAGGAACTTTACCTTCTTCAGGCAGTTTTTGTATAAACACAAGAAAAGTATCACAGTGCCCATAATGTTTCATATATACAGTCATAAATTTATAACTTAACATAACATAATCTATAACTAAGTATTTAGGCTTCAACAATAAATCACAGCGAGTTAAGACATAATTGTAAGAAATAATTCCTGAGGAAATAATGCACTCGAGTATTTTCTATTTCACAATATATGTAATGAAAATCAAGTGCTTGCTTTTCTCCTTACTCTTCATAAATTTTTCTTTATTTGCCTTGATTACTGCATAGCAAATTCTATTCAGTTAATTTAATTAGTTAAATAACTGGTGGAACATTTAGTAAAATATGTCTTAGTCCTTATTCAGTCGAGTGAAATGTGAATCTTTCATGGAAAGTATTGCATACCTGTTACTATAAAAACTTCACTATTATATAACAGTTATAATGATTATCTGTTATATCATGATTCATGAGAAGTGGTAACAGCATGCTCTATGTGGTTTTTCTTTCTTTGTTTTATGCGATATTAGCTGTTAGCTGTGGTCACCCTGGTAGTCCTATTTATGGAAGAACAAGTGGAAACGGTTTCAACTTCAATGACGTCGTGACATTCTCATGTAATACTGGATATGTTATGCAAGGACCAACCAAAGCACAGTGTCAGGCTAATAGGCAGTGGAGCCACCCACCTCCAATATGCAAAGGTAAGAATGCAAGCACTTACTGATTTCAAACTTAGTTGGAAAATTAAGGTTGAAAAATAAACTGAAGGTAAATGGAAACCGTCAGGACAAAATGATGCCTTTCTTATTAACAGACATCAAATTATTGAAGAAAATATTTCATTTTTCAGTTATGTCTGTTCTGCATTCAGAAGATTTCCAGGATAACTGTTGCAGAGAAACTTTCTGATGTGATGTAGTTTGTATTCATTTTTTTAGTGGTTTCTACAAGTTACTTATGCAAAATTACACCAAGATAATTAGGAGCTTAAGTCCTGAAATACTGTTCACTGCATATTTAACCAATATAATTCAAATAGCTGCATAAGAAAACACACTTTCCCCCTCCCCTTTACATTTGCATTGTACTGACTGCTTGTCTCAACTTTTTTTCTTTTAGTTCTATATTGTTAGCATAATCCATTTAGGTTGGTTCTCAACACTCACGGATATTATATTTAAAATTCTTTCACTGAAAATAAAAGAATACTATTATATTAGATCTGTTAGAAAGCTTTGTCACCATTGTCCTACTTAAGTCTGGTTCTATGTACTTTTTAATTGTTTTAATTGTCCTCGTTTAGAATAATGTACTTTTTATTGTAATCTGCTTGCACCTATGCAGAAAATATACTGATTGTTTTTGAGCATCTTGCCAGAATCTTCTGTGGATTTTTATCTGTACACAGACTAAGTCACGTTATGTATTTAAAGTAATTTTATTTACTGTATTTTCCTTCCAATGTGTGTTCTCCATTTCCATGTGATCACTTTCCCTTAAGCAATACTGGCAAATAGTATATAGAACTCAAATTGCCAAGGACATTTTTGCTGATGAGAAGTTATTGGTTTTTAAGTTTACAACACTAAACATGTACTGTATATTAAGGGTACTTAATAAATCTCTCTTTCAGTCCAGGTGCTATAAATCACGTTGGTGTTCTGGTATTGAAGAAAAATGTGCCGAAGTGTCTGATATGTTATTGGCCTGTAAGGATCAGTAAAATAGGTTGATCAGGTTATTCTTTGAAATTTTACACAGCCTAAAATCTTTTATTGGCTTTAGAACAGACTTTAAAAATAGACACCCAACTGCATGAAGAGAATTAACTCTATCCCAACCACGACCAGCAGAGTGGTGTCTGTAATGTACAGTGAAATAAATTCTAAATGATACGATTTTGGTCTATTTGCACTGAAGTTAAACAAAATTTACCAAAAAAACCTCCCCAAAACCACAAACAAACAAACAAACAAAAAAGAAAAGAAAACCAAACCTTGCATATTTGTAAACTGTCTAAAGTACAATATTGTAGAAAAGACTGCACCCCTTTGTGAAGACTTAATTTGCTATCATCATATAAATTCAGCAGTGCACTTGCTGTTATACTGTCTACAGCTTTGCTAAATTGCTAGGCTTCCCAGCCAAGTATGAAAACAATGGAAGACTGTTGACAAAAAAATGAAGCTCCTTATATTTTCTTTCAAGTGTTCATTAGCCCAGATTTATTAATAATTTTTTTAAAGCACATGCTTGAAAAACTGAAGATGAATGTTCAGTTGTTATAAAAAACTTGTCTGCAAAAATGAACTGGATAGAAATGTAGATCAGATTTCCCTCTAGGAAAAAATAGTAACTAATTTTCAACACCAATATTTGAGAACTGCTAGGAGGAGCACACAAGCAGGCTTCAACTTTAGGACAGTGAATAGAGAGAAGTAGGTGAGCCACAAAATACCTACCTATATATATATGTATTTGCACACAGGTACATACATAGGTATGCATCAGTTATAAGGATACAGGGATAGAAATTATTATGTTAACTGTAGTTTTCTAGAGTAACTTTGAGTAAGTGATTTACTTATAAAGATATCCCTATATCCTTAAAATAGATATTTTCCCAATTCGATGTCATTATATATAAAATCAGGGTACCAACACACTGGAATTTTCTCCTACAAAAGATAAGAGACCATTTAAAGACCTATTTTAAAGGTCTTTACAAGCCATTGGTCCAGCATCGTGGTCCCTTACAGCATCTGCTCTTCCTTCTCCATTCCCCCATACCATTTGTTTGCACAAGAAATAATTGTCTCATGGATAAGGCCTTACACAAATGCTATTTTGTGTTACATTGTTTCTATGGTCTTTACAGACCATTTAAAGACTATTTTAGTAGACAGTATTTCTATGACTCTCAAGTTTACATTCTTTTTCTTTTTAGTGGTCAATTGTTCTGATCCTGGAATTCCTGCAAATTCCATAAGAGAAAGCAAAATTGAACATGGAAATTTCACATATGGCACAGTGGTATTTTATGACTGTAATCCTGGATATTTTTTATTTGGTTCTTCAGTTTTAATTTGTCAACCAAATGGCCACTGGGACAAACCTCTACCTGAATGCATTAGTAAGTAGATAATGTGTATTCTTCTATAAACAATGTAAACTAGACTAGGCATTATTTTGCACATAATTTCTATTAGAATTAGCAATTAGAATACTCATATTTATATACAGTTATGTGTGTGGAGTAATGATGGAAGGTCTCAGTAGCAACAGAATTAGCAGTTACATTGTTATTGTGTGTAGCAAATACAGTAACTGAAACATCTCCGAATGCTTCCGCACAGAGTTAGAAGGTAAAAACATACCCATTGAACTTGCCAATATGTGACCTCCATTAGCCACAGAACTATAATCACAATGAAATTTAAAATCCATAATACCCAATTTTTTACTTATGTCACTATAATACTTTCTGCACTTTTCTTGGGACAACAGTAAGACCAGACTATTTACAAAGGCAGTAAGCAAATAGCAGTGACACTACAAAACACCAGAAGTGTCTTATGGATCATGTCCTCAGCTTCCCACTCTACAGATGCACTTGAGAGTCCTAGTCATATGCAACCTATCCACTTAGGCATGTGGATCAACAGAAGGAAGTTGGTTTTGTTCTGGCTTGTCGTGACCAACTTTATAACTCTGATGTAGATATAGCCATGGATGTTTCAAAGGTTTTTAATTGGTTGGGACAGCTGATTAAACCAGATATCTGTAAGTCTATGAAAAAGGTTTTATTTTAGAATCATAATTTCACTCTGCAAAAGGCTGAAAGCTTCTTTTTCTGAAGATTAAAGGGAAAACAGGCTAAGGGTTCCCATACAAGAATCATGGACCAATATTTGCAATATTGTAGAAATTAATTTCTCAGTTTTGCCTTTATTAGTCTTCCTTAAATGAGATTTCTCCAGTTCTGCTATTCTCTCTCTAAAAAAGAAAAACAAATAAAGCAAACCTGAAACTTTAATTCTTTTTCATGTTTAAACCTTTAGTTCTGGAAATTGTCCCTTTCTTTGACGGAATAAATAGCTTGATTGAAAGTCACAGTTAAACTTATAACAAAGAATCTAATGGTTTTCCATTAAATTTTAAAGGTAGTATTACCATTTCGTAAAGATAAATGTTACTTAATAATACATCTCGAAAGAGAACAAAGTTCTAAAGGTAAAGGTGGAAATACTACTTTTATATTTTTGTCTCTTAGTATTCTTCCAGAGTTGTCAGAAGTAATTTGATAATACAGACCTTACTCTTCTTCCAAGCTGGCCTTTGTGAGTAAGAGGGCTATATGTACTTTTGAAAGGGGATCTTCAGTTTGTGTCATTTATATTGAGGGGTCAATGAATTCTAACCTAGGCACTATCCATGCTATTTTGTAGGATTACCAAAACTTATTCTGATACAGCTACTGAATATTTTTTATAAGAGTCTTTCAGCTTCTTGAGTGTTTTGCATATTTTTTCCCTTTTGGATATATGCATGACAGTCATTTAGTAGTCTGCATATTTTTCCACTTTAAGAGAATGGAAAAGATGTGGAAAGCTGGCTGGATGTTTTCCTTTGACCCAGGTTGGATTAAAATTTTTATCTAAATGCATTTCAATCTCTCACCTTCTTTTAGATATTGTTAGAGTAATGGAGAAGAGACACAGTAACAAAGGGAAAGTTGTGGACCTGCAAAGTGGCTCAATTCCTTTGAGATGTGTTGTAGCTAGAGTACTTCTAGCTATTGTAAATTGTCTAAGAAACAGAATTCAGCATTCGCTGAACCGTAATGCCCAATCAACTCTCCCTTTGAATTAAAGACTTTCAGGGGCATACACTGTTTAGGCATATGGTGCTAGAAAAATACTTTAAATTTGAAGTGTACTTAAATGAAGGATGTGTTTGGACAATAAACCTCGAAGAATTCTAGTGACTGTATCAGGGTTTTTTGTACTGCAAAATATTCTCGATTTAGTTCTGTCAGACATGCTCTGATTTGTTACTTTTAAGCTACTTATATGTGAATACACATAATCCACACCTTCCAAGCTTGAAATCCAAATAAGTTGAACTATTTTTTTGCTGGTTTCTTTGCCATCCTCTCAATAATTCTGTCACAGCACCTTGTCCTGACAGTTCTGTCCTAACCATAGGACAGATACGGCCATTTCGAGGAGTCAGATGGAACGGTAAGAATAATTGAGAACTATACAGAATAAAGAAATTTCAAGTGTGTGTTTTAATGTAGTACTCAAGAATTAGGCTATAACATTTTTAATTTAATCGGGTGTTAAACTAATAATGCTGTAAATCTACTTTTATATCACCACATTTGACCAAGTGAGAATGCGAATTTACACTTCTTTCTTTTTTTTACAGAAGTTACAGACTTCATTTGTAATTAGTATTAGCTGTGTATTTTTTTATTTTAGATTTTTCAGGGAAAAAGACATAGACATTGAAATGTCACACTGACAAGATAATTACTTGCATATCTTTCTCTTTTTTTTTAATTTTAAACGAAAGTGAGGTTTTAGTGTGACAGAAATAGATTCATACTTATCCATAATAATGAAAAAATATATTCTCTCATGTTTTGATATACTAAGAAGAAGATTAATAATATTAGTTTCTCTTTCATTTTTCTTATTCCTTTATTGTTTGCTCTTTAAATGTGATTCAATGCTTAATGTAATATTATATTTACATAGTTGTAAAAAGGTACTGTGATGGTATGTGATGGAACAGTACTAGATAACAGAGGTGGAAAGGAAGAAATTGATGGAAATAAAATGGAGGATAAATTAGCATTAGAAAAAAAACCCAAGAAATATTATTAACTGTTCATATTAGATCCTGACTGAGAACTTAAGAATATAAAATTAAATTTTGCAGAATATATAGTTAAGGGTAGCATTACAGGTTGGTATAATATTTTTAAATGGGTTATTAGGAATCCAGGACTTCTAGACATAAGTCCAAACATAAAGGAGAAGCAAGTGTAAGAAATCCCATAACTGAATACTGTAAGGTACCAGTATGAAGATAACTTTTCCTCTGTGACAACATCTGAAAAGGCCAAAAGAATCAATCAAGAAAGATACAGATAATTACGACACAATGAAAAACTGTGAATGTTTTTCACAAGAGTTTCATTTCATTGCAAACTGCATAATCAACATGACTTTTAACAGTGTTCCAAGTTTACCTTCTCTACAATCATACCTAATTAATAGTAGAGTTTATTTACTAGCAACTGATTAAACAATGAACATGCTAACAGCAAGTGGCCAGTTTGTAAGGCTGACCATTCTGACCATTTTACTCAAAGTCCTGCAAGCCTATAAAATGGTCACACAGGTCAGTGGCACAGGTAAAAGTCAGTAATCACATACCACTTCCCTAAATACATTGTGGGATTGCCATGAAAATTCTGCACCTCGCATGTCTGACTCCTAAGAAAACATATTTAATTGAATACAGGTCACTGTATGTATAAATGTTAAACTCTTAAGACTGAGAATAATCATTAGAGGAAGATGAATCCTCATGCATTATTTAGGTCTTACGTTGTATTGTACAGCCATTGTACTGCTGTATACATCTGAAGTGCTAGGGCACTGAATGCATCCAGGAACACTCATCAGGCTTCTTATCTGGCTTTTTTTGATTAAAAAAAGAAAATCTCACTGAAAATGTTATTGAATATATTGAAGATGATGAAGTATTGATAAAAACTACATTTGTATGATTTAGGGAGCTGTTCTTGTATCCTGGTATTTGCAACTATAGTTTGTGGGTTTCATAATGCATAAATACACATATCTTTGGGTAAGACATGCCACGGACAAGGGTAAGATAAAACTAAATCAAACATGCAAGGCTAGATTCATTCCATGAATAGAGTGAATTTGGTTTATGAATTTTCACAGTGCGTTTCCAGAACTTGACATATTTAGCTTGCTTTTAAATTAACTCCTTACTCTGCCTTCTTAAAAGTTTTCTTTATATTAATTCCACATGTGAGGGAATTTCTTTTGTACATTTTTGTATGAGACAGACTAGCTATTTCTTTTCACAACAGAACTTTGTTTCCCTTACATACATTATGCATGTAGATGATGCTCTCCATAGGGATGCATAACATCAGTGTTCTGGAGTAGCTAGATTCCTCCTGATCTAGCCAAGGTAGCTTCACTGTTACACAACTTTCCAGTAGATAAGAGACTGATGAATTTTTTTCAGTAGTGTTATCATGATTTTAGATCAAGTTTCTATCATTTAGCTTCTTTTAAAAAATTACTGCTTTTGACCATTTATAGCAAAAGAAATAGTCATAGTTTTTTGTGTAAGAGGCAATTAAAGGGCAAAAGATAACATGCTAAATTATCCCATTTTCTTTCTGGAGTTTACATACTTCATGATATTTGAGCCAGTTAGCAAAATTAGGTGTGTATAAGATAACTGTTGGACACCCTTATGTGCAATCTGTAAGTGGAAATCACAAAAATTTCAAGACTAAGAGTACTAAAAATTCATGACATTATGGAAATCATTAGCAGTTATTGATCAAAATTTACCCAATAAAATAACCATAGGGAGATTACCCATGACCATTTCTAAGATTAGGATCCTGTAAAAATTTCCTCCAATTTCGGTGTGATTAACATCAATAGATGATGCCTAGGAATACATTAAAAATATGTAAACAAATATTTTATTTATGCAATACAATATTTTAAGTGACCACAACCATGAATATGAAGGCATATTAACATTAAGATACGTTAAGATCTTGTACAATTTTAAATCCAATAGATTTCATGACCAAGATTTGAGTCCTGTAGATACGTGGATGCATATTCTCTACCTCAGCAGTGACTTTGGCAGATGTCTTCCAAAATTTTTTCTCTTATGAGTACGTGCATGAGTTTGTATTTGTGTGTGTGTGCATGTGTTCATATCATAAGGATCAATTTAGAGAATGAGTGTATTTGGAAATCAATATCTCCATCTAAAATACCTTTTTGATATCGCCAGACATTTGTTTCATAGCTTTTGGTCTGTAATATATTTTGCCTTTTCAATCACATAATGTTAACCCTCCCCCAAAGCTAAAAAGGTCAGCCTTTTCACAAAGATTATGTATGGAATTTGAAAATGGTAGGTAAAAACTGTTTGATCAGTGATAATAACCTTTTTTTATCTCCAATAATTATGCATTGTAGTGATTGACTGTGGACATCCTGGCGTCCCTCCTAACGCGGTCCTGTCTGGAGATAAATACACGTTTGGGTCTACTGTTCATTATACCTGCACAGGTAGACGGTCGCTGTTAGGGCAGTCGTCTCGTACATGTCAGTTAAATGGACACTGGAGTGGATCTCTTCCTCATTGCTCAGGTAATATTAAATTAATAAGTGTGACTTAAGGTTGTTTTGAATTTACTCTTATTTTATCAGAAGGACGTGGAAAATCATGTAGAAAACTGAAGTGCTATCTTAAAAAAAGTAAAAAAGGGAAAACCAAAATGAGTAGAAACTATTAGCAAGAAACCAGTTTGGGAGACATTTAGTATGTGTAGGAAATTGCACATTCAATATAATGTTAAAGGAAGTGGTTTGTTTTAAAAATATTTTCTATTTCTTGAAAAAGTATAAATTTCCACAGGGAAATCTTGCATCATTATCTCATCAAGATGATGGGTTAATATTTTTGCTAAACTTACAAAATATGTACTGACTTGATGATACCTCATGTATATCTTAATTACATAATACATCCATTTTTATAATAAGGCCAAGTGAGCTCCACATAATTTCAGAATAGGATGCTCAGTTTCTCAGGGAACACCTTTTAATCCTGGTAAAGATTAACCCTCACCAAAGTCGAGATACGTTTTCTGAACAAATTAATACTTAGGAATGCCCTGTTTCACAACTTCAGTTTGATTCACTATAGAGCAGTAATCAAGTGAGAAACAGACATCCAACCCACACACAAATTTGTGATTCGGCTAAATCCTTATTCTTCAATGTGTAAACACAGATTGTGATAGATGAAAATCATCACATTATCAGTTTTAATTCTCAATAAATATTGTGGAGAGGTTATTTTTTGTAATCCTCATGTTTCCATGACATACTTTAAAGAAATCAGTGGGGTTTTGCACCTTATTCAGAGTACTTAGGTATATTCAAAGGCAGAAAATTAAAAGAAAACAAGTGACACCTTTTTTTCTTGGGTTTCAGCTATGCAAACACAAGCGGTATAAAATAAGTGATATGCAAATCTGACAGTACTGCTATACCACTTTCACACAAAAATCCAATGTTCTTTACAGCATTAGTAAATCATAGAATCATAGAATGGTTGGGGTAAGAAGATACTCTTAAAATCATCTAGTCCAACCCCCTAGCCATGGGCAGGGACGCCTTCCACTAGTATCATGGAATCAGAGAATCGTGGAATCATAGAAGCGTAGAGTCATAGAATGGTTTGGGTTGAAAGGCACTTTAAAGATCATCTCGTTTCAACCTTCTGCCATCAGCAGGGACACCTGCCACTAGGTCAGGTTTCTCAAAGCTCTGTCCAATCTGGTGTTGAACAGTTCCAGAGATGGGGCATCCACAACTTCTCTGGGCAACCTGTTCCAGTGCCTCATCACCTTCACAGTGAAGATTTTTTTCCTGATATCTAATCTAAATCTGCCTTCTTTCATCTTAAATCTATTACCCCTTTTCCTGTCACTACAGGCCCTTGTAAAAAGTCCCCTCCCAGCTTCCTTGTAGCCCCTTCAGGTACTGGATGTCTGCAATAAGGTCTCCCCGGAGCCTTCTCTTCTCCAGGCTGAACAAGCCCAACACTCTCAGCCTTTCTTCACAGAGAGATGTTCCAGCCCTCTCATCATCTTTGTGGCCCTCCTCTGGACTCTCACCAATCCCGATATCCTCCTTATGTTGGGGACCCCAGAGCTGAATGCAATACTGCAGTGTGTTGATCACACCACAGACCACATCTCCTCTAAGACAGTTTCCTTTTTGTTACATGGCACTTTGTGTTTCACATCCTAGATCTAGAAGAAATTGTCATGTCCCTTTAATATCTATTGAAATTCAAAAGCACAGTTTACAGTCATCTGATGCGTATCAACTGGAGTCAGAAATTTGCAGCAACTAAGAATTCCTTATAAGTGCAGCAATAGTTGGGTACTTAATTAGTGTAAATACCCTCCTTGTCATTAAGATTAACTGCCAGCTGAGAATTTGTTATACGTGTGGGTGAAGGATGGCTCATAACTGACTGAAAATCGCTTAGTCGAATGTCTGAATGAGGTAATAAAAATATTTTGTGTTATGATATCATTGATTATATCACTGTCACTTCCTGGTGTGATTAGTCATTTAGAAAAATTATTTCTGTAACCTACAATCAAAAGTGCTGGTGTTTAACTTCCCTAAGATTAAAAGAGTAATAATTCCCGGTAATAATTAGCTGTTATAAAAGAACACATGATTTCATTTACAAGAGAAACACGTAATTTATACTTGGCATAGCAAAAAACCTATTTTCGGTTTTGTGCCATAAAATTATTGTAGGCATAATGCCAAGTTGCCAGAAACTGAGCTGTAATTCTAGAGACTTTAGAAGTATAAAATAATTAATATGCCCCTACCCAAAATTCTTCATAGTCAAAATAAGTAATGCTGGAATATATAAGATATGTTTTCCCAAAATAGCAAAAAATTATCCTGATCAAGGATATTTTTAAATTATTGTAAAAATGTGTAGCAAACTATTTTCAAACTAGAGGGATGTTAAGTCAGCTAATTAGCATGGACATGAAGCTTTTGAAAGCTTACAAAATTTTTTATTTACTATCTTTTAGAACTATTTACAATTTTTTTCTAAACAGGGCTGGCAGGATGCTTTACTGATCTGTGTCACACAATGAAATGTGTAAACAGGGAACAGCCTAAACTTTTGAGACTGTGATTTTGAACCAAACAGTCAGCTTGCGCTTATCTTTACTTATGTTAATTTGTTGTTTCTGAAAGCATTAAAATACACAGGACCATGCACTTTTTGCACATACAGAATGTAATAGGCATGACTACATTAGTTTGTTTGATTATTCTGAAATGAAAGGTGTCAGCTTAAGCTTGGTTAACTGAAGTAATGATAAAATTGGCTCCTAAATTAGGAGGAGTGTTTCACAATTAGCCTACTTTGTCAGCTGATTCAGCAAGGATGGGATAAGTAATATAAGCTGCCAAGTTTGTTCTCTTCTGTATTTCCAAGCAAAGTTCTGCCCCTTTCTGTGCCTTCAGACTGAGCCTCCATAGCTGCCTTCTCTTCTCCCCCAGCCTATAGTAGCTGTGCAGATCAAGTCCTGTAAGGTGCTTAGTTGTTTTTCAACATATTTGTGGGGAAAGAAGGAAGCATGGCCTATATGAAAGGAAATAAAAAGTAGTAATCATAACCTACAAAACTACAAGTGGACAAATGAACTACCTTTATAAGTGACAAAAATACTTGGATGTATTTGACTAAAACAGCTATTTGTACATGATAACTCTCAAAGCAAAACAATCTATGACTCTTTGTCCTTTCACTATTCAGTTCTGGTTTCTTAATAAAGAGGTGTGTCCAACCAGTCACTCCAGCATTATAATTTACACACGTTTAGTGCCAACCAGTGCAAGAGAAGCTCTGTTTTTCTCTGCATCTACAAATCCAGGGTCCTAAATTTCCATAGAACCCCTATATTGAAGTAATTTTGTAAATACAGGGTCTGATGCCCACTGAGATATATGTTTATTTCTAAATATATAAATCAAAATTTA